GAAGCATTAAGCACTCATCTAGTCTCTCAGGTAGGTATTGATTTACCCAGTCTTCAACAGAGAGTTCAGGAATCAAGATTAAAAGCTGTTAACATGAAAAAACATGTTACAAGTACTGTAGACGAAGATATGGGATTTGTAACTGATAAAACCTATGAAGCTGAATCAGTGAAGCCTGCTAAAGTTGATTTCAAGATTAATGATTTGGAATTGTCAACTAAGAAAGATAAGTTGACTGTACAAGATGAAGGAATGAAGAATATTGAAGACGGATTGAAATATAGTAAAGTTGAAATTAACAACGACAAAGTAGAATCTCGGACTAATGAAGATGGATCAGAGGTGGAGAATGTTAAACTAAAAATAAAAGAGGAGGAGGAGAAGGAGGGACAGGAGAAGAAGGAGAAGGAGGAGAAGGAGGAGAAGGAGGAGAAGGAGGAGGAGGAGGAGGAGAAGGAGGAGAAGGGGGAGAGGGAAGAGAAGGAGGAGAAGGAGAAAGCTGCAAAATTGGAAATAACGCCAGCTAAAGCAGGAGTACAATTTGTTGTCAAGATTGAACCTGGACTTAGAAAAGTAATTGACTATCGAGAAATCTGTTTTATTGAATCAGATTCAGGTTCGGAGTCGGATTCCTAGTAATTTGCCAAAGATAAGTTTTTTGTCAAAAGTATTTTTTTCTGATATGTTCATACTGTAACCAAACTAATGTAATAATAATTACTGATCTTGACTGATATTTCATTCTGAAATACATATACATACTTCTTCATTAAATAATTTGATAATATTTTTCATATGTTTTTATTTAAGCTGAAAGTCTAGATGTGAGAGACATTTAAAGTAAAAAGTGCTTGAATTTTCTCAAAGGATGAGACTTTGCAAGACGATTATGCGGTTTTTTAAATCCTTTGCCACATTTTTTTAGAATTAAAAATTTACAAGTAGCGCAGAAGATCAAGTTTAATCTAAAGATGGTTGTTATCTGTTTTCTTCAGGTTTTCATTTAAGTCTTCTTAAACTTAAAGGGAGTGTTCGTGAAAAATGAAAGGGGGTATAGGCTTACGGTGATAAATAATCGCTTCTGATCGCAACTAATCTTACTTCTATCTGTTGCGTCTATATGGAGAAAATTGTTAAAAACGTCTCATACCGAAGAAAGAAGCGTTTATACAAATTGAGGAAGTTGGAACATACGACTTGGATCGTAAAAAATCAAATTAACATCAAAAAAATAATTTAGATATTAAATCCTATAGTCATCGATTATTTTTCGACGCATTTGTTTAATTTTTTATTTTGTGTTTTTTTTTAAAATTAATATTTCGCTTACAACTTGTTTTCACAATTGGCGCATTCCCGGAAAATATGGAAAATGTCGTCTTCATTATTAAAATCCTCGAAACAGGAATGAATATTTTCAAAAGTCACTCTCGGATCATAGAAAGTAAAAAATATTATGAATTTATACGAATGCATCGAAAAATAACCAATGATTTTAAGTTGTAATATCTGAATGGTTTGTTTGGAATTAAATTGATTTTTGTTATGATCCGAGTCGTATGTTCTGAATTTGTAAGGAATCTACGTTCTTCGGTATGAGACGTTTTTAACAATTTTCTCATTATATAGACGCAACAGATAGAAGAAAGATTAGTAGCGATCAAAAGCGATTATTTATCGCCGTAAGCCTATTCCCCCTTTAATTTTTCGCGAACACTCCCTTTAAAGATTTAAAACCGAAATTAAATCTCTCAATGTATCAAGATTGAAGCAAATTGAATAATCATATAATGCTGGGACAAAATTGCATTTTTAGACATGTGTTTGATTCAATGATAAAAATGTATTCATAACTTTTTATAGATTATTTTATTATTCACATTCTCAGTTGATCCCAAAGCACAATTTCAATTCCTTTGGTTTTATTTTAGATGTATTTTTAATTTAATCTCCATTTACAGAATACTCTTAAAATCTTAGTTTGATCGTAAAATCCACAAGATGTTAATTATTTTCTTTATGAAAATTGATAATTTTCCATTGTGGTTTCTCTGTAAAGAAGTGACTTGCGGAGGATGGAGGAAATCATTAGATTTTTTACACACAGTAAGGCTTAACTTAAGATTTATTTCTAAAAGATCACGGTTTTACGACTACTGTTGTGAGTCGGACATGACACTTTTGAAGCTGAAGATCAATTAAAATTAGCCTCCTGCTGCAAATGTTTTAACATGAATAAAACAGAAGAGATCCTTAAAATAAGAAACATGGAAGCTATGATAAATTAGATAAATTAGATCTTCTTGAGTACTGAATTGTTCATAAATGACAATTTTGTATCTAATGCGGTTTCCAATGTGTGGTCTTCCATTGTTCCATACTGAGGGGAGAATCAAATATTTGTGCAGCATGCATTCTAAAACTGATTAAATAATTAGACTATTCAGATTTTATTTAAAACATTTGATTATTAAGTACAAAATGGCGACCACATTATAAAAATCTCAAAACACTTAGTTTTTGTTTTTAATTGCTGGTAATTATATTGCCATGTTAATAGCTTAAATTTGCGTGAAAATTAATTTTTTCTTCAAAAATCGCTAGATAATCTTATAGTCCAAAATTTTTATATTTATGTTAAAGAAAACTAAACTTACAAGTAAATTTGTTTTGCGGCTCTTTTTTATGTTCCAAAAAATGCTTTTTCCTTTTGGTAATTCGTTTTTGATATAATGTAATATCTTGTAGATAATTGAATAAGATATATGACTACAGTATTTAAAAAACTTGTTAAAAAAATATTACAATATTCATTTGTTTGAGAAAATAAAAATTAATCTTATCATCGAAAATAAGTAATCTTGTTCAATTATTAGTTTCTATTTTCTCATTATTTACAAAGATTTTCTATAATTATTATTGAAAAGACGACATTTGAAGAATTTGTAGAAATCTGCGAATAAATTCAAAGAAAAAAGAAATTCAATATAATAATGAAAACGAAATAATCGATTTTAGAATTGATTTATTGGCAAATTTCTTTTGAGAATATGTTCCTAACCATCTAATTATGTAGATTACTGTATAATTTTTACTTTATTTTTCGGTGTCCTTATTTCATAATTAAAAAACTAACTCTGAAAACGTATCCACTCCCAAAGTAGTGAATAATGAGAAACCAGAATAATGAGAAAATAAAAACTAATAATTGAACAAGATTACTTATTTTCGATGATAAGATTAATTTTTATTTTCTCAACATGTTCCTATACATGACGTCGTAGTTTAATGTAGGACTTTTTAACATTTTATGTCCTCGCTATTTAATAACTTAAAAAAAACTGATTCTCAAAACGTATCCACCCCCAAAGTAGAAGTTTTGAACGTTGAATTTGCGCTCAAACTCAGGATTTACAGATCTTTTAAAAGTTTAATATGTCTCAAATGAATCCGGAAGAATTTTTCCACAACACTGCATACTCAGTTCAACTATACATACATTACATAGCCGGTCACTCCCTTTAATACACCATTTTATATATTTATCATTTATATTTGTCTAAAGCAAAATTACATTAAACAATATAAAAGTTTACAAACTAATACTCTTTTCTCTGGATATCGCATTTTATAATTGACAGGGTTTGCCAAAAAACAGGTGCAATACAAGACTTTTAGCATGAGTATAGTTTAGCTATTCAAGAATAATGAGAAACCAGAATAATGAGAAAAAAGAAACTAATATTTGAACAAGATTACTTATTTTCGATGATAAGATTAATTTGTATTTTCTCAACATGTTCCTATACATGACGTCTGTAGTTTATTGTAGAACTTTTTTACATTTTATGTCCTCGTTATTTAATAACTTTAAAAAACTGATTCTCAAAACGTATCCACCCCCAAAGTAGGAGTTTTGAACGTTGAATTTGCGCACAAACTATACATACAAAGCCGGTCACTCCCCTTAATACAGAAAATATATGATTTGATCCCCGTTATAGCTCCCTAAGTATGTTTTTTGTTTCCGGTCTCGTGCATGGGGAAACCTCCCGTGCAGTTTCATGGAACCACCTCCCCCTAAAGTGTTCACCATTTTAACTCAATGTTAGACATAAAAAGCAATGTTTTGACATTCTCGGATATTTCTTGTATTTCTCCATGAGTTACATAAAGTTAAAGAAGATAATTTTGATCTAAACAATTTTGATGATAATGAGATCGCAACCATGATCAACTTTTTAGGTTCCGACTAGAAACTATATTTATATATTATTCTTTATTCTTGTTTTTTTTTGTCTTATCATATCGTACCATTTTACCTTTGTGTACGAAATAAATCTATAATAATAATAGATAGATAGAAAAAAACCCATGAAGATTATCTATGTCTCGAGTTATTAATTGTTTGATGATTTAAAAGGAAGACGACATTCGAGAGGAAATAACTTTTTGCCTTTACCCCCTTAAAAACTATATGCGTATATGTCAATTCTGATAATTCTTAATGTTTTAACATTGATTTTTATGTCAAACATTGTGTTGAAATGGGTAAAACTTTTGGGGGAGGTGTTTTATGCAAGGGAGGTCTCCCCCATGCACGATTCCGGAAACAAAAAAAAACACACTAAACCGGAACTGAATTTTTAAATTTAACTTCTGTAATCATGGGCGCGGAGTGCTCAAAATTTCTGATAAGTTTAGATCGATCAGTGTATAAATATATTGAATGTGTCACGGCCCGGAAAGTTCTTATTCATAATTGCAAAATCAGCACTTATATATTTCCCTGCGGGTTTATATACATATATGAATATATTTACGGGATGGGGCAATTTTAATAATATTAAAAGAAGATATCTACTTAAGATATTTTTTTATCGAAAAATCGACTATGATTCTTTGCTTATTTTTTTATTTTGTATCATTTGAAGTCTAGCATCAGGCTGAATTTTAATGCAATCGCTTAATTAACATACTTTGCTTAGTACTGCCTTGATCTCAGTTTGTACTACTGCCTGAATTTTAAGGCGCCCAACTGCCTGTATTTTATAACTTATCATGGACGAAATGATAGAACAGGTATAAAAGGTTAAGGGACGACTCTCCAATCCTATTCCAAAGATCTACAAATTTTTCCGTTTTTACTTTTTTTTAAGCGCAAGGAAGAACATTTTGGTTCGTGTATTCTATAAAGAATTGCTCAGTAGAGAGAAATACATTAATGCTCTTTAAACTTCCTGAGAAGATCGCAAGTAATATAATATATACAATGATTAATCAGAAAACTCTGAAAAGGGAAGAATATATTTTTAGAATTTATTTATAACTTAAAAAAGTCTAATGAGCATGAGACGCAGCAATTGTGCAGTGTAATCAGACTCATTTCACTTTATTAGTGATTTAATAAGTGTTAGTAAAACTATTTGCTTTGTAACACCATTACACTTTTTAGTATTGCTCTAATATCGTCTCTTATTTCATTGTTTTCTGGTTATCACTGTAACAAATACAAAAGTTAAAAAATAATAACTATTTATTTACAATTAGCGAGGATTTACCAGGGAGAACTGCAAAATTTACCGGGAATTCATTTTTGCAAGTGTTTTCGAGACTTTTTTGATGAAATTTCATGACGAGCGTAAATCGAGAAAACATGAGGAAAAGTTAATTTCCGATGAAGTGCAGTTCTCCCGAAGGGAAATTCTCGATATAAGTAAATATTTAGTTTTATCCCAAGCAACATGTAACCGATTAAGCTTTTTTATTAATTAATAATCATATTAAATTATGTTGATAATATTAATATGTCTAAATAAATACTGAAAATTTTTAATATTTTTATTAAAACTTAGTTAGTAAAACTATTTGCTTTGTAACACCATTACACTTTTTAGTATTGCTTTAATATCGTCTCTTATTTCATTGTTTTCTGGTTATCACTGTAACAAATACAAAAGTTAAAAAATAATAACTATTTATTTACTATTAGGGAGGATTTACCAGGGAGAACTGCCACATTTACCGGGAATTCATTTTTCAAGTGTTTTCGAGACTTTTAATGAAAATTCATCACGAGCGTAAGTCGAGAAAACATGAGGAAAAGTTAATTTCCGATGAAGTGCAGTTCTCCCGAAGAAAAATCTCGCTATAAGTAAATGTCTAGTTTTATCCCAAGCATATGTAACCGATTAAGCTTTTTTATTAATTAATAATTATTTTCAATAATGTTGGTAACATTAATATGTCTAAATAAATACTAAAAAATTTTAATATTTTTATTAAAACTTTGTCATCTTCTAAATGCAGGAACATTTTTTTCTTGCAATTCATCACACTTACTTTCTCCTAGGCGAACTAAAATATTTTTACTCTGTTGTCTGTGTGAAAAAGTAAAGGAGCCTTAATTCTATGAAATTTATTGGATCAGGGTTACCCACAAAGGATGATAATGTAAAGACGACCTGAAATTCTTAAAGCATGAAAATCTTAAGGTTAAATTAAATAGTGTGCCTTATACACATAAAACGGTTTTTTTTAATGATAATTCGAAACAGTTGCAGAGAGTCATAGACATATAAGGATACAGACAGTATAAATTCCGTACAGTCGTCTCTAAGGTTTCATCCTTTCTGAGTAACCCTGTAGATTATTCAGCTTAAGACAAGACACCATCAATCATCATACATAACCAGAAAACTCGATAATAAGAAGACGACTTTTTAGCAATACTTTAACGTATTTGTTACAAAGCAAATAGTATTAATAAAAACTTAATAAATCAATAATTATAAAGTTAAATGGGATTGTTTACACTGCACAATTGCTTTGTTCCATGCTTAATATTTTGTTTTATTTAGGTAAACCCGGTCCACGTGACTTTAGACGATTTAGAGGAATTGATCGGAGCTCTCAGGAATATAAATCCGCAATTCTTATAGTTACAAGACGACATTTAACAATCTTCTATTCAATGTCCAAATAAACATGGGAATTAAAGGACGACTTGAAAATCGCATTAGATTTCCGATAATTGATAAATGACTAAAAGTGTATCAAAATAAGAAATATTAGCTTTTCAAAATGTGAAATCTGTATACGCGACTCTTATTGGTTGAATTTTATACACTTTTCATGAGACAAGATTAGATTAGTCTCGATATTATGAAAAGAGAGGATCACGAATTAATCTCGATATCCACTATTCTAAAGTTTTCAGCTCTGGACAGATTTCTCAATATCTCGGTCAATTTTGATGATGCAAAAATAGTAGATTGGAATTCCTGTTTTCTTAATTGATTCATCTGGAACACATTAGTAGGCGATTATCAATACAATGAAGACGACTTTTTATTTTAGTTTGGATTATTAAAAAGCTTTTTTTGAATTACAAGTTTACAAGTAATCACAGAGAAGCTTTTTTAACTGACATTTTCTGACTTCTATGTTTATGTGTATCCATGCTGTTTAACAGCTTGATTTAAATTAAAATTGATAGGGGACACCCTGTATAAACAAAATTTATATAGAAAGTCGTCTTCATTGTGTTGATTTAATCGCCTACAACTGTACTATACTACAGGGTGTCCCAATAAACATGGGAATTAAGAGACGACTTGAACATTGTCTTTGATTTCCGATAATTGATAAATGACATAAAGTGCATTGAAAAAAGATTTAAAGTGTAATGAGCTTGATAAAATGTGTACCTTCTTTATTTTTTTAGGAAATAAAGAGTTTTCTGCATTATCGATTTTGATTCGTGGGTTATACCTTGTCTATCTGTTCATCGTCAGAATCTTGTTTCTAAGCGACAACAACCCTGTGGTTAAATATTTAACTCGCCAAAATCGACGAGTTAAAATTTAAACACAGGGTTAAAATCTTGACATCCCGCAATCCCTATTTGTCTATCATCAATCAGTGGTAAGCGGCATTCAACTAATTAAAATTAAAAAAACAGCTGATTACCGAATACCGATACTTACGTAATAATTCTCCTTAAATCCTTTTCTCTGATTGGTTTAGATTTTACCCGGGAAATTCAAATTTAAAATTGAGAAAGTTTAATATTTAAGTAGCTATTCATTATTTTACAGAATTCTTTTAACCTCGAACTTAAAATTCGCGCATTCTTTAGTTTTAGACTCTGGAATCTGGACAAATTTCCAAATATTTATCTCCGTCAATTTTGAAGACTAAAAATTTGAAGGCCACATTTTGGAAATTTCGAGACTGGTAGTTTTTGGTGTTAAATGTTACTACAAAGTTATGCGTCCGAAATAGTCCGACATGGAACAAAGACAATACAGTAGTCGTCATTTAATTCCCATGTTTATGTGCACGGGTACATTTTGTTCACGTTATAATAGTAATTAAAAGTAGCAATTCAATTTATTTATTTTTCTCAAATGCTTCCAAATTAACTTAACTGCGGATTATTAGTTTATTTCTAGTGCGGAGGAGATAGAAGAGTTAGCAGAATGTGATCCTGACGTGAGTATCATACAAAACAAATCAATTGACAAAAATTATTTGCTCCGAAAAAGAATGGCAAGTGAAAATTTGTTTCTCCATACGTCATTTTCTCCCGATCAACAACAAAAATACGTTAAATGGGCACACGAGGGGGGAAAGCAAGCGATTTGGTTTAAAATTATCTGAAATTTAGATAGCTAGATAGACAGAAGATAGATTTAGAAAAAAAGCAAAACTGCGTTATTTCTGTTAAAAATTAAATTTCTTCTAACGTTCAAAAACATTTTTAGAGAAGAGTAACATCAGCAGGTATGTACAAAATATATTTTAGGAGGAAATAAGCATTTAAAATTAAATACATTTTACCGGAAGATATATGGATGGGTGCAGCGGTTAGGAAGCAATACGGGTAAGCGCAGTGTCGCGACTCTGTTGTGAGTCAATTGCGGGATGGAGGCTTTATGGGTGCGGCTTGCCTTCCCCTCTCGGCACATTTTAGAAATGCTTTTTCATCAAAATAAACTAAAAATTTTCATAATTTTGTTTAGGATTCAAATATGCCTCCATCAATGCGCTGTGCGTACAAATGCAACAAGGCTGCAACTGGAGAAGTTAATAGGTGAACAACAAATATTTCGGTAAAATTTGGGAAATGAATTAAGAAAATAAGTTATTAAAATTCATTTTAAAATCTCGCAGATTTATGCAAGTTCTTTCAGCTAGGGTCGCTTGTTTAAGTTTTCTTTATTTTAATTTTGAAGACGCCATTTTAACGAAATCTGGGAATAAGATGATAATAATGAAATAGTCGATTCTATGGTTCTACTATGTCTTTCATCGAAAATTTATTTTAAGAAATATGTTCCTAAACAGTAAATTAGCCTATAATAAACCATTTTTATATGTTTTGTCCGGGTTATTAAATAATTGTAAAAAGCGTTTCTTGTACTGACTGAAACAAATGGTGAAATATTACAAACACCTTTACGCTCTTTACGCTCTTATTTAAAAATTGTACACCGTAAACATGATTCATTGGTACAAAATGAATCCTAAAGTTTTTCTCTGCAATACTGCACTTTCAGCTCAACTACCATGCCTGGCCGGTCTCTCCCGTTAATCTCCATTAATTTGGAATTTGTATTGTATATCTACTATCTATGTAAAATCAAATAGATTCTAGTACAATAGATGGCAACGTAGAATTTGTTATGTACACTCTCAGTACAGCTGTATTCTAACGTCACAAGCGTCAATTCAGTTTTTGTGTCCGACAAAATTATCAATAATAGTGATAATTTTAGAGTAAAGTGCTTTTCTTACAGTAAAATAAGTGCAATTTTATGTGTTATTTAGTTTCTGTTTAACACTTTTTCATTTAATCTTGGAAACTAATGTGAGACAATTTTGTTTTCCTATGTATATATGACACTTGTGACGTTATGTATAATTGGTTCATTTCTCTGTTGCCACCTATTGTACTTGATAATCTATTTGATGTACTATAGTTACTATAGGGGTCTAGAGTTATCTTATACTAAGCAGATACCAAATATCGTCTTCTTCAAACTATAATATTTAACTTTCTAGAGCCAGACAAAGTAATCGATGTGTAAAATACAGAATGTGTATAAATAATGAATTGAACAGAAACAAACGGAAATATATTTACTATTTTTCCTGTATCTATACAAAGTTGTAATCTCTGTTTGTCTGTCTCTTTGTTTGTTTGTCCGATCATAACTTGGGAACCCCTAGACCGATATGCCTCACAATTTTATTGGGGAACTCCGGAAACCCATGGGAATGTTCTCAGCTTGGATTTGAGTTGAGTTGAGTTGAGTTGAGTAAGTCGACTTAAATAGCAAAAATTCAGTTTCCCGGTAAAATCGTTCAAGTGCAGGTAATGGCGGGATCGAGTAACTTTTAATAACCTGGGCAGCGCTGGGTTCCCAAGCTAGTAATAATATAAAGACTTAAAAACTTTTTTTTTGTAAGGGACTGTAGACGCCATTAGGTGACCCTCTATTTATGGAGAGGCATGTTCCATTCACAACCGTACCTTTAAAAGTTTTGTATGGTCAAGAATGAATGAACTATCCACCATTTTCTCTTTGAAAATTGTTAGTTTTTAATTGTGGTGACTAGTGGATTCCTGTTCTAGAAACAATGGACTAAGTGGTCAGAATTAGACCCTTTTCAAGCTAGAAAACTGACGAAATCCAATTCACATTATAAATTAGATAAATGTTTAAAAATATGAAACTGAAATGCCCGTCTTTACATGGGAGAGGTTGCTTAAATTTACAGCGATCAGTCCCTTTAAGATCTTTACAAAAATATTACTTATTTTCAGAGACAAGCTGCTAGATGGTCTAAAGGAACAAGCGTTGGCAATTCCTGACAAGGTGAAATCTGAAATTCTCATTAGAGTTGGGCATCGTTTAGTAATTTCCAATAAGTTAATTTTTTAGTTTTTTTTGCATGGATAAAAGATTACCTGATATCTTAGAAGTTTTGAAAATTTGAAAATTGTTTTTTCTTTTCTTTTACTATAATGCTAAACTTTGACCCATAGAGAAAATATATGCAAAAAAAACGTCTTAAAACGATAGTTTTTTGGTTCGTTTACCTTTTTTTCTCGTTGGGTAAAAATATGTTAAAGTTTAATAAAAGCAAAACTTAACAGAGTAAAGTTAAAAGTTTAAAAAATTAAAGTGGTTAACAACCTTAGCATCGTTTATCCGTTTTACGCATTTCAAAATTTTCTTTTTTTAAAATTTTTCTGTTTGAAATTATTCAAAATGTTGACTTTAATAAAAGATATAAGCCTGAAAATCGTTCAGACTTAAAAAAGATGAATAAAAGAAAATAAGAACTCAACGATAATCTCAAACTCGTGTTACTGTTGCTAACGAACAATATTTATGAAAGGGACTGTGCCCTTCCATTATCTATAGGGTCGAGGGCAGGTCGGGGAGATAGTAAAAAGAAGAAGGAAGGAGGTTCTAGATCAAATTAATTAATTAATTAACTAAAAGTTAGGGGTTTCACCGGAATTTCGGGTTACGGTTTACGTACGGAAATTAATTTTTTTCCATTTCCATTACGGAAAAGGTTCCGAAATTCCGGAATTCCAGATCAATTCCAGAACGACTTTTTTATCCGTAAACCGTAAATTTAAATAGAAAGTTATAAAATTATTTATTAAATTAAATTAATGCAGTATACACTCCACAGTTGCTGTGTCTCATCTTCATTTAACTATTTAAAGTCATCACTTAAGTCTAAAAGTCTCCCTTCTATGCGAGAGTTTTCTGGTTCAATGTATATACTTTTCTCGTCTGTTTGCTTGTATGTTTGTATCCAATAAACGTCAAAACGACAGAACCGATCGATCCAAAAATTTGTGAGACAGCTTACATGACCCAATTGGAAGGTTTAACAATGGTTGGAGTTTAAAAATTTTTACAGAAAAAACGTCGAAATTTATTATTTTATTATTCACCAATAAATTTAATTTTTATTTATTTGGCACATTTCATCCCATCCGGACCGTATATAAAATAAACAAATTAAATGATTTTTTTTGAACGATCTTCTGAACGGTTTAATAAATGATTGATTAATTATTTAATTGATTAATTAATTGATTAATTAATCAATTAATTAATTGGTTGATTAATTAATTGATTGATTAACGAATTGATTGATTAATTAATTGATTAATCAATTAATTAATTGATCAATTCGTTAATCAATCAATTAATTAATCAATTAATCAATCAATCAATCAATTAATTAACTAATTAATTAATTAATTAATTAATTAATTAATTAAATAATCGATTAATTGATTGATTAATTTATTGATTGATTAATTAGATTATTTAATTAATTTATTTACTGGTCAATTAGTTAGTTAATTGATAACTTG